CCAGAAACTCTGAAGCCCTCTTCTGACCTCCCACAGGCACTGCACACATGTAGTGTACATGCATGCAAGCAAAACACTCATGCACATAAAAGTAAAATTTTTTTTTTGTGTGTGTGTGTGTCTTTTTGAGACAGGGTCTCCCTGTAGCCCCAGCTGGACAGAACTCACTATGTAGACCCAGTTGGCTTTGAACTCAGAGATCCACCTGCCTTTGCCTCCCGATTGCTGGGACTACAGGCGTGTACTACCACGCCCGACTAAAATGATAATTTTTTAAAACACCAAAAAATAAACTGTGATTTCTAAAATTGACAAATTCTAAAGTATCAACTGTGGTTTTCTCTGCAGATTTCACTTCTTTGGAATTCCCGCTTTGCAGATAGCAATGGCAGTCCGAGTCCTTGTAATTGGCAGTGGAGGAAGGGAACATACACTGGCCTGGAAACTTGCACAGTCTCATCATGTCAAAGAAGTGTTGGTTGCCCCAGGAAATGCAGGCACTGCCTGCTGTGGAAAGATTTCAAATGCTGGTGATTAGGATTCAAAATGGGGGGTGGGGCGTAATGGCTGCTATTTGTTAATAATAAACTATAGCTCACATCTGTCCTTTTGTTTGTAGGGGTTGTTTGATTTGAGGAGGAGTTAAGACAGAATCCCACTGTATAGCCCTTGCTAACCTGGAACTTGCTATGTAGACTAGGCTGGTCTTGAATTCACAGAGATCCCACCTGTGTCTGACTCCTTAGTCTTGGGATTAAAGGCATGTGCCACCATGCCTAACTCAAATCTGTCCTTGAATGCAGGTAGATTGCTATTTAGGTTTGAACACTTGCCATGTGCTGTAAATATAAGGTAGTGTGGCTGTTTTAAGCTGTATGAACCACGTTGATTGAAAAGGTAACAAGCGCCTAGTTAATGCATTCTTTGTATATTTTTGGAAATGACAAACTGAGCAGCACTATCAAATATAAATTTTGGCTCCATAATGATCAGTTCATAAACTACATTAAGCACTTTGCAGCACTTGGGTATAACTCAAACATCCTCTTGCCTTACAAAGCCTTTTTTGTAATCTTGCTTTCATCTGCCTATCCAGCTCTGGCTTATAAACCCTCAGAGGGCAAGGAACTAATGTCTTGTTTCACATTGGATGCACAGGGGCCCATGATTTTTATGGAGAGAATTATTGCCAACAAGCTACAAATTGGGGAAAGTAGTTTCGTTTGGATAAAACCAGAAATAATAAAGAAAATCTCAGCCAGGCGTAGTGGCGCACACCTTTAATCCCAGCATTCAGGAGGCAGAGGCAGGCAGATCTCTGTGAGTTCAAGCCAGCATGGTCTACATAGTGAGTTCCAGGACAGCTGGGGCTACAGGGAGACCCTGTCTCAAAAAGACCAAGAAAAAAAAGAAAATCTCTCTTTTTTTCTGAGTGTCATCCCTAGATGCAGGGGGTTAACATCAGTTTATTGAACTGGCGCTTTTTCTCAGCATGCAATTGAGGTTATATATTCAAGCCTGTCAAAAATCTCCCAGGTTGTCGTCCATCAGCTGCCATTTTCAACAGCTGGGGGCTGGATGTATCCCTTTCTTGTGCCCCTCTACTGAAAGTTGATCCCATTGGGCCCAGTTGTGATTGGAACTACTAATTCAAGGCAGTTTCTTTAGTTTGAGAACCTGGACTTAGAGAATAGAATCATTATTGCCTTCTTAGCTTAAACAACTCTGCCTCAAAAGAAAGACCCTTCCCAACTCAACCAGAAATAGCCTCCAGTTCATCTGATAGCAAAATTGCTTAATTTGTTCATATTTGTATTTATTATCTGACATTCTCTACCCCACCCCCGTGCCCCTTGGGTTTGTTTTTGTGGGTTTTGGTTTTGGTTTTGGTTTGTTAGGCTTTTTTTGAGACAGGGTCTCCCTGTAGCCACAGCTTGCCTAGAACTCACTATGTAGACCAGGCTAGCCTCAGTCTCACAGAGATCCACCTGGTCTGCCTCCTGCATGCTGGGTTGAAAACTGTACCACCATGCCTAGCTTTATCTGTTGTCCTTACAGTATGTGTTGGATAGCTTCCGTAGTCAACTTGACACACCTGGGTAGACTATGTAGAGATAATCAACTGAGGAGTTGCCCTCCATTGGATTGACTTGTGGCCATGTCTGTGGGGCAATTTCTTGATTATTGAGGTATGTGGGAAGGCCTGGCCCACTATGAGTGATACCAACCCGGGCAGGTGGTCTTTGGTAAAAGAAAGCAGGCTAAGCACAGGCCAGAGGAGCAAGCCAGTAAGCAACACTCCTCCATGGTCTGTGCTTCAGCTCTGTCTCCAGATTCTTGCCCAGGGTTTCCTGTTCTGACTTCCCTCAGTGATGAACTGTAACCTGGGAGATATAAGATAAAATAGGCCCTTTCCTCCCCATATTGGTTTTGGAAAAATGTTTTTGTTGTTGTTGTTTTGGTCTTTTTGAGACAGGGTCTCCTTGTAGCCCCAGCTGGCCTGGGACTCACTATGTAGACCAGGCTGGCCTTGAACTCACAGAGATCTACCACACCTGGCTGGTCAGAATGTTTTTATCACAGCAATAGAAAGGAACTGGGGAAATTATAAATATCCTAAAACTAAGGACCCTAATTTGTGTTAAGATCTTAGTTTTGGGGCCTATTGCAATACCCTACACATAGTAAATTCAATAAATCTTGAATGATATTAAAAACTAGTTTCGCCTGCATGGTGGTGTATGCCTTTAATCCCACACTTGGGAGGCAGAAGCAAGAAGCAAGTGGATCTCTGTGAGTTCAAGGCCAGCTTGGTCTACATAGTGAGTTCCAGGACAGCTGTGGCTACAGGGAAACCCTGTCTCAAAAAGATCCAAAAAAAAAAGCTAGTTTTGAGTATATTCTATGGTACTTTTTTGTTTAATACATAGCTAACATTGCCAGCATGGACAACCATGATTTATAACATTTGGTGAAGCTGACTAATACTCCCATAATTTAACTGGCTAAAGTGCAAACAGACAACTGAGCTTTGTTGTTTAGCCTAAGGCAATAGTTGGAATTTCTCATGGAGAAAATTACTAACTCTACTAATAAAAGAAAACCAGTGATTAACTTAGTTTTAAATTAGATAACTAAATGTAGTGCTTAGTTTACTTAGTTAACTGAAACATTATTTTATGAATGTATGGCCTTATGTTTTCTGTCCACAGCCATCTCCATCAATGATCATAATGTCCTTGCTCAATTCTGCAAAGATGAGAAGATTGAACTTGTGGTTGTTGGACCAGAGGCCCCTCTAGCTGCTGGTAAATTTGATTTCTGCTCATTGTTAACAATGTATGCATTATTAATAGGAGGTTAGAGATCATTTCATCCAGTTCATTTTACAAATAAGAACTTGCAATACAATATATTAGAAATAGCTTTCAGCCAGGAGTGGTGGCGCACACCTTTAATCCCAGCACTCAGGAGGCAGAGGCAGGCGGACTCTGTGAGTTCAAGGCCAGCCTTGGTCTACATAGTGAGTTCCAGGACAGCTGGGGCTACAGGGAGACCCTGTCTCAAAAAGACCAAAAAAAAAAAAAAAGGCCTGATAGATTTCAGCCTATAAGAATTGACAGATTATTGGGGCAGGGGCCTGGCTCCCCACAGCCTTCAATAATAAAGTGAACTGGGGAATCATTCTTCTGTCTTTAATCAGCTCTATTCTGGTGTCTTTGGTAATCCAAATAAATATTCGGTTAGAACAATTAACTTTTGCTAGTTTGTTTGTCAGGGTGTTTTGTTTTAAAATGGGTCTTGTGTTACCCAAAGTGTTCTAGAGTTTATAGGCTCTAGCAATCCTACCTTGACCTCAGGTAGCTGCCACATTACACAGCTCTTTTATTTAATTTTAAAACCATACTTTATTTTATGTACAGCAATACAATTTACTATCAAATGACTTATTTGATACAGTTTTAAACAGAAGGGAAAAAGGAAACTTTTCAGGTTACAGAAGAAATTTAACAAATTGCGTTTTCTAAATGGGTCAGTGTGAAAGATACATTCAGTGGCTAGTCATGTCCAATTCCTATTGCACTAATGGTCAGTGGAATTGAAAAGAAAGCCCAACTTTCACAATCACTGCCACAAAGGGAGAACATGTACTGGAGTCTTACAGAATGCAGAAATGGTTCTTGCTACTTTAATACCCAGAAAGTTGAATTCACATAGCTACCAGGAAGTAAAAACAGAAACTATGCTTTTTTTTTTTTCTTTTTTTTCTTTTTTTTTTAATTACACATTTCTTGCTGGGCCTGATGGCACACACCTTTCCTTCCAGCACTTGGGAGGCAGAGGCTGGTGGATCTCTGTGAGTTCAAGGCCTAGTCTTCATAACAATTTTCAGGCCAGCTGAGGCTACAAAAAGACCCTATCAAAAAGACCAAAAAATAAAATAAAATAATTTAAAAATAAATTAATAAAATTACACATTCTTATTCTCCTTTCAAAATATTCTAGTATGTCCACATATGCATTTGTTTACAAATGTACGTTTGTATATTATAGAGTCGGCTCCACATTTGGGAGAAAACGTGTTTTGTTTTGTTTTTTCTGTCTTGAGATTGGGTGACCTCACTTAATATACATTCTAGGTCCATCCATTTTCCTAAGAATTTTGTGATTTCATTTTTCTTTAGAGCTGAATAATATTCAATATATATGTACCAGAGTTTCCTTATCCATTGATTTGTTGATGGACAATTAGGCTGGTTGCATTTCCTTGTTCTGGTGAATAGAGTAGAAATAAACATGGGGGTGCAAATATCTCTGCAGTAAGGTATGGAGCTCTCCAGGTATATGCTCAGGAGTGAGATAGGTGGGTCATATGGCAACCCTATTTTTAATTGTTTGAGGAACCTCCAAACTGGTTTCCATAATGGCTGTACTAATTTGCACTCCCATCAGCCATGAATAAGGATTCCTTTTTCTCCACATCCTCTCCCACATTGTTATTGTTTGTTTGTTTGTTTGTTTGTTTGTTTAAAACAGGGTCTCTGACTATATAGCCCTGGCAGGCCTGTCTTGCTATGACCAAAGATGTTGACTACCATGCCTGATTGCTGTTGGATTTCAAGTACTTACAGGACATTTGTATTTCCCTTTCTAAAAAACCGTCTGTTCAATTCCTTAGCCCATTTGTTGGTTGGTAATTTTATTTCCTTGGTATTTAATTTTTGCAGTTTTTTGTAGTTTAGGAAGGTTTTTTGTTTGCTTTTTGTTGTTGATTATTTATTCATTTTTTATTTATTTTGAGAAAGGGTCTCCCTGTAGCTACAGCTGATGTGGATCTCCATATGCACTTTGCTAGTAAATAATAGAAGCATGGAAAACTTAGTTATCCTCTGCCACCACCTATCTGCCTTGTCTAAATGTAGAGTAGTCTAGTCGTGATTCATATTTAGTCTAAATCCCTAGAATCATCCAGATTGCTGTTTGCATCTGTAGGAATCGTTGGGGACCTGACTTCTGCGGGAGTGCGATGCTTTGGTCCCACAGCAGAAGCAGCTCGGTTAGAGTCCAGTAAAAAGTTTGCCAAAGAGTTTATGGACCGACATGGAATCCCAACAGCACGGTGGAAAGCTTTCACCAAACCTGAAGATGCCTGTAGCTTTATTATGAGGTAAGTGAAAGGTAGCCTGTGAAAGACAGTTGTTTTATAATGTTTAAATATAAGGTCGCTTTCATGTTGAAAACACAATGATTGGTCTTAGTTTTTCACAAGTTTAGAGTAGGTTAATTATGGAAAAAATACTCGGTAAACTATTAAGCATGTTACCTTTTCCAACACCAAAATAATATGGAATTCTCAGCACTTGGGAGGTGGAGGTAGAAGGCTATGGAGTTCAAAGCCAGCCAGGGCTACATGAGGCCCTGCCTCAAGCCAAAAGGGAAAAAAAAAAAATGGGATTCTGTGCATATTTAGTTTATGTAATCTTGTAGCTTTACAGAAAGATCAAGTGTTAATATTTACTACTGAATCGTCTCTAAGGGGAAATACACACTTGGTTCTGTGAGTATTGTGCTCTTTTCACAGCCAAATTCATAAACACAGTGATATTTTACAACAGAAAAGTTATTGACTTGGATTTTTGAGACACGGTCTTGTTATATAGCCATCCTGACCACAAATTCAAGGCAATATTCCTGCCTCCACCTCCCAAGTGCTGAGATTATAGGCATGAGCCACCATGTCCAATAGTTAGAGATTTTTGTCAAAAATAACCAGAATAAAGAATCCTTGGTTGTCTGCCACCAGTACTCCATTCTAAATGTTAAAATTAAGCATCCATTGCTCTCATACATATGGTAAAAATTAAGAAATTTGTGAATGTTGATAGGCGTGCATGCCCTTATTTTCGAAGAAATATTATTTATGTGTATGTATTTGTGTGAGTGTATGTCAAACTGTGCAGGTGCCTGTAGAGGCCAGAAGAGGGTGACTGATCCTCTAGAAGTAAAGTATTAGGTGGTTGTGAGCTACCCAATATGGGTGCTGGGAACTGAAGTAGGATTCTCTGGAAGAGCAGAAAGTTCTCTTAACCACTTGAGCCATCTCTACAGCTCTCCCTCTGCCCCCTTTTCCTCGATACTCTCTGCTACCTGGTATGTTTTCCTTTCAGTTGGGTCAGGAACATCCTTTTTTAAAAAATACTTGTTTATTGTGTGTGCTTGTATGCATGTGTGTGCATGTGCTATTGCACAGGTGGCGGTCAGAGGAAAACTTTGGGAGTCAGTTCTCTTCTTCCACCATGTGGGCTCCAGAGATCAAACTGAGGTCATCAGACTCAGCAGCCATCTCACCTACCGAGCCATCTCACTGACTCGTTCAATCTATTCATTCTTCATCCTGCAGGGCATCTTAGACACTGAATGTTACTATTTTCTAGTAGCCAGATGTCTTGGGTGAGTGACAGCTGTGTTACTTACTTTAGGTAAGCCTTCCTTTCAGGTCCCCAGTCCCTTTGGAGTGGGCTCCATAGTTTTGTGTGTACTTCCAGAATGATCTATGGATGCATGTATATATTAGTCTTAATACTCCAGCATCTTTTACTTAAATGAGGTTAAATACTTTGCATTTGAAAGATTATTTTATCTCTACTCTGCAAATCTGCCTATTCATCTGAAGATTTTTGCTTATGTGATCTCACTGAGTAAAAAAAGCAGAATTTTATGTGCTGTATGATCAAAAATATAAAAGAATATATAAGAAAAAGAATCTTGGCAGGAAGTACATCAAATGATATGGGAATAATAAGTTTTCTTCTGTGTGCCTTTCAGTTTTGCTGTAGCATTTTGTTACAAATCCTGAAACATTTTCCATTTTTGAGTCATGAGGGTACAGGCTGATAAATATTGCCCTATCTTCACAGTGCAAATTTTCCTGCTTTGGTTGTGAAGGCCAGTGGGCTTGCAGCTGGAAAGGGGGTGATAGTTGCAAAGAACAAGGAGGAAGCATGCAAAGCTGTACAGGAGATCATGCAAGTAGGTGATGCTTCTGAAAGTTTCTTTTCCTGTGCATGCTAAATAAATTTTTTTTTGTCTTTTTGAGACAGGGTCTTCCTGGAGCCCCAGCTGTCCTGGAACTCATTATGTAGACCAGGCTGGCCTTGAACGCACAGAGATCCGCCTGCCTCTGCCTCCCGAGTGCTGGGATTAAAGCTGTGCGCCACCACGCCCGGCTAAATAAATATTTCTTAAGTTTACAAAAATGGCCCTCAAGGAAAAGCTATCTACCAAGACACTGGTAATATTTTATAATACTGTGTATTAGTCATCTCTCTAAAATGGTTATTGTAGGTCCATACTAATAACTAAAGCATGATTCATTCTTTGAAGTAGGTTCTCCAAACATCCATGAGGAAAGAAGTATTTGTCCTGTGTTTAAGAGAAATGGAGCAGTAAATAGGCATCATTTTTCTTTCTCTTTAATCTTTGAGACAGGGTCTCCCTGTAGCCCCAGCTGGCCTGGAACTTGCTCTGTAGACCAGGCTGGCCCTGAACTCACAGGGATCCGCCTGCCTCTGCCTCCCGAGTACGGGGATTAAAGGTGTGCACCACCCACCCAGTTCAATTTTTCTTTAATAATCCATCTTGGTTGTTATGAGTTAACCACTTAAAAAGTTTATTTTCATAAGCATGGTTTAGTATAATTTTTGTAGACAAGCATAATCAAGAATAAGAATTAAGGCTGGGTGTGGTGGTGCACACCTTTAATCCCAGCACTTTTGGGGCTGAGACAGGCGGATCACTGTGCAATCAAAGTAAGCCTGGGGTGGTCTACATAGTGAGTTCAGGCCAGCTGGGGCTACATGATGAGACTGTCTCAAAAAAAACCAACAACAAAATGCTTAAATGATAATCATCAAACCATGCTCAGACTATATTGTCTTTCAGACAGGGAAAGAGAAATTCCAATGCTTATGTAGTTCATAATTCAAATGCTAGACAATTCCAAAAGTCAATTTGATAAATATGAAAATCTTTGCAGTTTACAAAGCCTTTTATTCTTCACCTACAATTAGGAAAAATCTTTTGGAGCAGCTGGAGAAACAATTGTTGTTGAAGAATTTCTTGAAGGAGAAGAAGTATCTGTATGTATACTTATCTTTTTGCCTTTAATGCACCCAAAAAAGACTTGATTTTTTTTTTTTTTCTGGTAGCTTCATCTGAGAACATAAACCCAGCAGTTTTAAAGGATTTATATACACTTAGTACTCAAGATTCAAATGAAAAAAGAATGTGTCCTCTTTTAATCATCCCCAAGACATCAGTGTGAGCACTTAGACTTACTGCACATTGTCTAGGTTCTACATTAACACATTTATAGCTTTTGTTTCACACACAGCTTATTATATAATAAATAGTAAAATAAAGTCACCTTAAATAAAATAATTGGTACCTGGCAGTTTCAAAAGTAGAAAGATCTTTAACTAAACTTGGATTTTCCCTAACTTACTTTATAAATTACACTTCCTTTACAAGTTGAATATACAAGAGGTTCTGATTCCTGATATATGTAACTTGAAGTCATTTTTCAATTCATTTTTCACTTTTGACGTTTAACCTACATTGACGATTGTTTCCCCTGCAGTGTCTTTGTTTCACTGATGGGAAGACGGTGGCTCCCATGCCCTCAGCACAAGACCATAAACGATTACTGGATGGAGATCAGGGCCCCAACACAGGGGGAATGGGAGCCTATTGTCCAACACCTCAGGTACTTCCCAGGAGCTCTGCTCAAGCTCAGTAGTAATCATTTGGGCTTCTTATAAAGTCTTACATGATGCTTTTCTGTTACAGTTGGGTTTTTTGTTTGTCTCTTTAAACTATGTTACTAACCAGATCAACTTTTCTATCCTGACCACACTATACTCACATTTTAGAGCCTGGTACGATCTAGAATTATCTGCTTCATCTCTGAATATCAGGGCCCAGTACATAAAAAGGGCATGGATAGATAATGAATTGAGATCCAGGAGGGGCTGTAATTGAGCTCTTAGTACTTCATAACTGACAAGCAATGTCTCCAAATGATTTCTGGGTAGTTTTGTATAAAACTGCATTGTTGGAACATGATGGCTTAGCACTTCAGAAGCTCCACCGATTCCTTTCATTGCTGGTGATAATGTTAATTTGTACTATTTTAGTACCTTTTACATATTTTTCTTGATTAAAAGAAAACATCTTTTTTAGACTTTGTAAATATTCAGACTGTCCTTTGATAGTAGTCATTTTAGTGGAAGACCATCCTGGAGCCTTATTTTCACAATTAAATGTATAAACTCAGTAGGCTTAAAAATATGCCTAGAACTAGTCTCCAGTGACTTAACTCACACCAAAGGACATCTGGGAACACAAACTTGACTTTATAGGCCATGACATATATAACAGAATGCATGAAATCAAGTGGGGGGAGGCATGAGGAGGTACAGTTAGGTGAGGAGGTCTAAATATGATTAAGATATATTGTATGGGGGCTGGAGAGATGGTTCAGTGTTTAAGAACACTGGTTGTTCTTGAAAAAGACCCAGGTTCAAATCCCAGTACCCACAATGGCAGCTAACAACTGTCTGTAACTCCAGTCCCAGGGAATCCAACAGCCTCTTCTGACCTCTGCGGGCATTGCACGACACAGGTGCACTTAACTACATGCAGGCAATACATGCATATACATAAAAACAATAGGGACTGGAGAGATGGCTCAGCCGTTAAGAACACTGGTTGTTCTTGCAGAAGACCTGAGTTCAAATCCCAGCACCCACATGGCAGCTAACAACTGTCCATAACTCCAGTCCCAGCGGATCCGACAGCCTCTTCTGACTTCCTCAGGCATTGCATGACATGGGTACACTTACCTACATGCAGGCAATACATGCATACACATAAAGAAAAAAAACAAAAATTTTAAAAAGACATATTGTATGAAATGCAAAGAAATTTAATAAAAGTATATATTGGAAAAAGAAAGAAAATGTGCTTAGAATGCACTAGAAGGGTATACAAAAGAGTATCAGGATTGGGAAGGATTTTTTTTTATTTTTAGCATTATGTTTCAGGAACCTTTGTGTGTGATCTACTTTAATAGTGCATCTCTTTAAAAATCCTTTGAGATGATTTATTAAGCCTCCTTCACCTGTGAAATAGTGATTGTCACTGATCTCTTATTTGATAGCAAGCACATTCAGGCTGTCCTTGTAATAATTTATCAGACTCAGGGCATTACCATTTTGATGTGCTTGGTGAACCATTGAGAAATTATTTTTAAGTTAGTATGTATGTTTATAGGAAAAAGGGAAAGTAGACACTGGTGTTTGCTAGCTCTGTGTCCTTGAATATGGAACATAATTTATCTTCTCTATTCTGTAAAAATAAGGGCAAAATAACTACTTGATAGGGTCATTGTGAAGACTTGAAAAGTTTGAGTGTAAGTACTGAGCCTGTTTTGGCTAGTAGAAATTAAAGTTCTCATTTTCATTTTCCCATCTAATACTTGCAAGGTGATTGTAGGTACCAGTTACATTTAAATATTTCTGTGTTCCCCAGGTTCCTAAAGAGTTATTACTAAAAATTAAAAGCAGTGTTCTTCAGAGGACAGTAGATGGCATGCAGCAGGAGGGTACGCCTTATACTGGTAAGTACGGTGACATGGACATCATTTAGAATACTTCCCCTTTGGCTAAAACTTAGAGCATTTTCTTTTTCTATGTATTTTAATCGTAATATTACGATGTTTTATCATTGTTCTGAAATGTTAAGTATTAGAACTTTATAATTTAGGGCTTGGGAAATAGCTCAGGTGGTCGAATGCTTGCTGAGCTTGCATGAAGCCCTGGGTTCTATCTCCCGTACCATATAAATTGGATGTGGTGGCACATGCTTATAATCCTAGCACTCGGGATGTGGAGAAAGTAGGACCAGAGGTTCAAGGTTATCCTCAACTACACAGTGGCCAACCTGGGATACGTGAGATTTTGTCTCAAAAAAGAAGTTTGTAGTCTAAGTTTTGTAGTCATTATGTAATGTTGTCATTATATGTTTTCTTTCTCTCTTTTCGTTATTAATTAAGGAATTCTCTATGCTGGTATAATGCTGACCAAAGATGGCCCAAAAGTTCTGGAGTTTAATTGCCGTTTTGGTGATCCCGAGTGCCAAGTAGGTACCAGTAATTAAAAGATGAAATTGCGCTGGGCATGGTGGCACACACCTTTAATCCCAGCACTCGGGAGGCGCAGGCAGGTGGATCTCTGTGAGTTCAAGGCCAGCCTGGTCTATATAGTGAGTTCTAGGACAGCTGGGGCTACAGGGAGACCTTGTCTCAAAAAGACCCCCCAAAAAAAAAAAGATGAAATTACTTTGTAGAGACTATGCATTGTTTTGATTTTTGTTTATCAGCCTTGAAATAATTGCCTTTAAGAAACACATTTAAGCTCATCTAGTATCCTAGTGAATAAAATGTCTGTGGAAGACTAAAATTTATCTCACCTGGCATATTTATTCTGTTTTTTCCAGGTAATCCTCCCACTTCTTAAAAGTGATCTTTATGAAGTGATTCAGTCTACCTTAGATGGCCTGCTGAGTACATCTCTCCCTGTTTGGCTAGAAAACCACAGTGCCATAACTGTTGTCATGGCAAGTAAAGGTTATCCTGGAGCCTACATCAAGGGTGTAGAGATAACAGGTGAATAGCAGAAAATGAAAGGTTGAATTACAATGTAACGAATGACTGATGCCACAGCAGGCCGCCTTCCATGGGAATGCGTCTTCCTATAAAGGGTCTGAAGTCATCAAGCCTTTCAGAGGCTCTTAACCACATTGCCTTTTGCATATGTATCTACAGATACCCAAAATAGTGTATTTAAAGAACCACCATTCACTTCCCTTCCTGTACCAGAAGATAGAAGTGGTGTAGCTAAGGTTCCAGAGTATATCCCAATGCAGCCTTTTACATCCTTAGAGCCAAGGGGATAATTGAGCTCTGTGACAATGAGCAGCATTAACATCATGAGCTATAAACGATTACAGATACAGTTTTATGTGGTTCCGTCCCTTAGATTACAGTGTGCCTGATATAAAGTACCTCCCCTCACCTTTTTTTTTTTTTTTAAGAACAGGAGATTAGGCGTCTGGTTAAATGATGTTGAGTTCATTTATAAAAGATAGATTCGAGCCAGGCATGATGGCGCACACCTTTAGTCCCAGCTCTTGGGAGGCAGAAGCAGGTGGAACTCTGTGGCCAGCCTGGTCTACATAGTGAGTTCTAGGCCAGCTGTGGCTACAGGGATACCCTGTCTCAAAAAAAAAAAAAAAAAAGAAATTGGCTGTTTTTGAAAAAATACCCAAGAGATAAGAGTAAACCTTTGTATTAATGAAATTTCCCTAAAGTTCAAGGTGAGAGATGGCTTAGTGGTTTAGAATGCTGGTTATTCTTTGCAGAGGACCTTCAGCACCCACAGGGCAGATAGCAACCATCTTTTAAGTCTCAGCCTTTCTTTCCCCCTCATTGAAAGGGGATGATTTTAAAAGATAGCACAAGATTTGGGGAATATAGCTGTCATCTTAAAATAGAACACTGTTCTTTGGGAAAAGGGTCTGTTTATTATTGACTTAACTCTTGCCTTTTGGGTTTTAGTTTTGTGGGGGTTTTGTTGTGTTTTAATATGGACATGGTAAATCTCGGTGTGACGTGCTATTTCAAATTCTCTGTCAAATCTGCTTTCTTCCAGGGTTTCCTGAAGCACAAGCTTTAGGACTAGAAGTGTTCCATGCAGGCACTGCCCTCAAAGATGGCAAAGTAGTGACCAGCGGGGGTAGAGTCCTTACAGTCACAGCCATGCGGGAAAATCTCCTATCAGCCCTTGAAGAAGCCAGGAGAGGACTGGCTGCTATAAAGTTTGAGGGGGCAGTTTATAGGACGGACATTGGCTTCCGTGCCATAGCCTTCCTCCAGCAGCCCAGGTAAAGCTTCCCTGAGGGAAGTAGGGAACTGGTCTAAGTGGCTGTTGAAGAAATTCTGTTAGCCCTGTGTTGTCTTTCTATATTCTCTTTATATAGGACTGTTCTGATCTTTGTTTTTCACAAACCTGTTAATAGGCTAAGGCAAGAGGATCACCTCAGATTTGAGGTCAGCCTATAGTAAAACTTTGAACCCCCTTACCCACAAAAAACAACAAGTTTGATTATACCAATAATCAAGTTAAGTGGAAAACCCTTCTTGGCAGCTCCTTTGAAAAGTTTATGAAGATCATACGTACAAGAATTTTTATGCCTTGGGTTATCATGTAGTCACACATTGCTGTGCTTAAATCATAGTTCTGGTTTTCTCCCTTTTCAAAGAACTTAAAGGTGAGCATATTGGTCATTAATCTAAATTTTGTGATTTAGTGTGATCATCTTGTAAATTCTGGCAATCTTATTACTCAAATGTATGTTTGATCCCTTATTGATTCATTTATTAATACATACAAATATTTCCTTGTAACACAAATAAACTTCGGTTACGACTTAAGTGTCTTGAATTCTTAAGAATATGTCACATATGGGATTAAGGATGTAGCTAAAGTTGGTAAAATGCTTGCCCAAGAGGCATGAAGCCCTGGATCCCATCTGCAGTACCCAAAAATCCAGATGTGATGCATAGCTATAATTTTAGCATTTGGGTGGTGGAGGCAGAAGCATCAGAAATTGAAGGTCATTCTGGGCTTCATGAGACCCTGTCTCAAAAATAAGTATATATGGGTCTGGAGAGATGGCTCGGTGGTTAAGAACACTGGTTGTTCTTGCAGAAGACCCTGGTTCGAATCTCAGCACCCACATGGCAGCTAACAACTGTCTGTAACTCGAGTCCCAGGGGATCCGGCAGCCTCTTCTGACCTCTGAGGGCACTGCACGGCACGGGTGCACTTACCTACATGCAGGCAATACATGCATACACATAAAATTAAAAAAATAAAAATTAAAAAAAAAATAATAAGTATATATTACATTAAGTTCTATGGGTAGAAAATATTTTTAGGTCAAAAATTAATTTTTAGCAACTTAAGCTATACCTTTAGTGAGAGACAAATTTTTAAATAATGGACTTTTTTTAGAACAGATAACAATACTATGCTAATTTTTTTTTATTTATTTATTTTACTGTAAAATTACTAGAGCCCATGGAAATTATCTGTCTTGAGGGACTGAAGTCTTAGTTGTTCTACTCTAAGAGGAAAATGAGATACCACAATGCCAGTTGATACCCAAGAAAGTTTTTTAACCTGTAGGACATTGTTTCCTATCTAATCCTGGACTGCTGGCATTGAGTTAGTTGCCAGTGCTTTCGATTACATTAGCAGCTTATTTTTAATACAATTTCACATTTTTTCATCTGTCATTGCATCCCAGTAAGTCAAAATCTCATTTTTGCAAGGCAAGACTACTAAATTCACAATGCCATTCACAATCTAGATTGTAAAAAAAACTGCAAGTGAACAGCTTTACCTAGTTTTGTACTTTCTCTTTTTTTGAAGCATAATTATGTTCCTACTGTCCTCAGCTATGGGGAAAAAAATAATACAGCTATGTATTGTTGTAGTGAGAGCTCAGTTTGGTTGTTCAGGGACATTTACAGAATTCTTAGAATCTTTTTTTTTTTTTCTGGTATATTTGAGACAGTGTGTCCCTGTAGCCCCAGCTGGCCTGGAACTCACTAGTAGACCAGGCTGGCCTCAGTCTCACAGAAATCCACCTGCCTCTGCCTCCCAAATGCTGGGATTAAAGGTGTGTGCCACCATACCCATTGAATTCTTATAATCTTAATTCCATTTTTTTATTTGGTTCTGGCATTCCATCCTTATCCATCCTGAAACTGACCTAAGAAAGAATGTGGTAAAAAAAAAAAATCATTGTAGTAAAAAAGAATAGTCAGAGGAGGTGATGCTGGAGTATTAGGAGTTTGAGGCCAATTTTAGCTACATAGCAAAAAAAAAAAAGTAAAATAGTGGTTTCCACGTGAAAGTCAAGAATGGGGAGTTATTGTATAATGGACACAAAGTTTCCATTTTACAAGGTGAAAAGAGATGGATGCTAATGAGGGCTGCAGGAAATTATGACCAATTTAATAGCATTCAGTTGAACAATGCGCTTAAAAATGACTAAGAGAGTAAATGGTATGGATATTTTACCACAGTAAAAAAATTTTGACCCAACCTATTGGTGCATGGCTTTAATCATAGCACTGAGGAGGCAGAGACAGGTAGATCTCTGTGAGTTTGAGTCCAGCCCCGTCTATACCAGGCCAACCAGGGCTACACAGACCCTGTCTAAAACAAAGTTCAAACCAGATATGGTAATATACATCTACTAACTCCAGCGCTCGAGGTAGAGGTAGGAGGACTGGGGATTCAAGGTCATCCTCAGCTACATAGCAAAGTTGAAGCCTGCTTGAGCTATGTGAGAGTCTGTCTCAAAAATTATTTCAAAAGTTAGTGTATTTAAAAGCCTATGAGAAATACTTTTACAAGAAATAGATGATTAAAGAAGTAATTTTCAATAGAGATAAATGATGTGGTCAGATCAACTGGGAGGTTGTTGAACACATTTCAATTCCCAGTGCCTGCCCTAGAGACCAGTTTCAGATTCTGACCACATGGAATAAACCACATGGCATATCTTCACTTTGAATGCTCTTTTTTTCCTTTTCATGTGTATGTGGTACGCATACATGTATGTGTATTCAAGTATGTGGGCACATGTATATGCGTATGGAAGCCTGAAGGTCATGTCAGGAATCATCCTCCATCACCTGATCCGTTGAGGGCAGAACTCTCAGTCAAACCCAGAGCTCCCTGACATAGCTAATCTCTTAGCCAGCTTGTTTGGGGAATTCCCATCTCCACCTTCCCAGGCTGGCTGCCACATCTGCCAACAATCACATGGCAAGTGCTTTAACACCTGAGCCATCTTTCTAACCCTTAAATATTATTGCTAAGATTAAAATACTTTTCCCTGGCATTAAGACAAAGTCTTAGTTATTTTCATTTCCTTAGGGCCCTGACTTATAAGGAATCGGGGGTAGATATTGCAGCCGGAAATACGCTAGTTAAGAAAATTCAGCCTTTAGCCAAAGCTACCTCAAGACCAGGTAAGTAAGATCCTGTACTCTGCTAACTAATCAGCTTTGACAGGAATTGTGAATAGATCTAGGCTTGAGAGACAATTTTCTACATTACCACCAGATTCCTTTAAGCCATACCCATAGTCTGCCTTTTTTTTTTTTTTTTTTTTTTTTTTTTTTTTTTTTTTTTTTTTTAAAAAAAAAGAGGACGATAAATCTTTCACTGTGATATATCAAAATAA